TTAAAGGCTTACAAAAGGCATTCAAGATATAGAAGATAAAGTTTAAATATGGATGCCAATATGGAGCATAACAAATAAGAGGGAGGGAGGGGGGGGGGGGGGGGGGGGGTGGGGGTGGAAGGTGAGAAAAATAAGAAGAGAAAACAAATGACTCCATTTAGATTTCTTGTTTACATTATGAAGGAAAATACCATAAAAATTTACACTTTAAAACTATCAAATTTTACCATCTTTGTATCTAATTTCGAGAAAGAGAGAAGAAAAAGCATGTAGGTTCCATAATTTTTATGTTAATTTTTTTATATTGATTTGCAGAAAGATAAGGCATATGATTCATTTTCTAAGTTTTTATTACAAAGCAAAAACAATGTTGTTTCTTATGACAGGAGATAATATTATCTCTTATGACACGAGAAACGATTAATCCTTATTTAAATGATAAACTATTTATATACTAAAAATAAACTTGCTATTTAGCCATACAAAAAAATTATGGCCAAATATTACAAAATGTGGCAAATGAGATTTTCTACATTTTAACAAAATGTGGTTAAATGGGGTGTGAGAATAATTTAGCTTTAGCCACAATTGTAATAAGTGTAATAACATTTATTTAGCCACATTTAATTTTATTAGTTAGCCACGATAAAAAAAAGGTAAATGTGTATGAAAACTTTGTTTAGCCATCGTGGCCAATTATATAAAATTTATTTTTAAAAATTTTAAATAATATTACAAATTTTATATCTTTAAAGAAAATACAGTAACATAAAAAATTTAAAGAAAAAAATAATCAATAAAGTAAAACATAAACCAATCACCATATTATATTTTGGATATGCAAGTAATATTATAGAAGAGTTTATACAACAAGCCAATACTTTTTTCTTTTTAGTAGATAGGCAATAATTTTTTAGAATGAGCTAATTAAATTTTGTACTAATATAACATCAGAGTGAATTGCCAAATAAAACTAATTAAAATTTTATCATTGGACACCTTATTTAAAAGATATGATAGTGCAAATCTTCCTTTTTCTTTTTATATACGTGGGAATTAAACACATAACCTAATACAACCTATTCAAATTCCTCACCACTAGACCAATTTTATTGGCTTATAGTGCAAATCTTCTTATAATTGCTCTTGTATGTATTCTTGTCCTTTGAAGCGCATGCTATCGTACCTATACAAGAAAATAAGAAACATTAACTTCATGCTAAGACAATGAATGATTCTTAAGAGCTTGCATAATCAATAGGAAAGAAAATGAACGTGAATTGTATTCCCAAATTAATATTAAACATTAATGTGAATTAACTCTCCATGAAAACAAGAAGCAAGCGCCATCAAATTTAATTATTTGCCATCTTCCAACTTTGATTAAGAGCTAGCTTTATAATTTTATGTATTTTACCTTAAAGTGGCAGTTAGCTAGCTAGATTTCAATTTTGATTGTGAAAATTTAACATGATAAACCAACGCTACATCTAGCAACAAAAAATAAAACCTTTGCTCATGCATATGGCTAGTAATATATATTTTATAATTTAAAATTTTCAACTTCAAGTAGCAACACACTTAGAGAGGCAACAAAATTTTGGATAGATTAAGTGTCATAATTTTGAAGCCAAAGTTAGGGTTATGCATGACTTTTTGTTAATGGAAATAAGTTTTAAGTACTTTCTACTTCCATAATGCAGTCAATAATACCATTTCCATAAGAAAGTCTTGGCCGATATGATGGTTAACCCAAAATGTAACATGATTGTCTTACAATTATTTTGGTCAACATTCTTGATTGAGGTTTTTTTTTTTTCTAGTAACAAGCAGGAACAAATCCGCACCTAAAGTAGAATTCAAAGGTTAAAGAAACACCGATTATGTCCAAAAATAAAATGCAAGCACAACCAGCAGGAAGTGAAGGCCAACGTCCTTGGAATACGAAAAGTGAACCAACCAATCGCTAACTTGAGTTATATGCTAATGGAAAGACTAATGGAAACCTTGATTTCCCTCTAAACAATTTCAAATATCTTATGAAGATATACGTAGCATAGTAGAAACAAGAATAAAAGAAAACGTAAAAGCTTCCTCAAACTTCATTGATATAATGACGTGATGAATCTTTAAGGTTTCCAACATAATCTTGCATCTTACCTGTCTATGGCTCTCAAAAGCATGAATGATGCACTTCTTCGAGGAAAACTAAGCCTCCGGTGTCAAGAACTAACAAGAACTACTGTATGTAGAGGAATCTTTGTTTTAGACGAAAATCAAGTAATGAGTCTTAATCGGGCCTCATATTGATTGATAATGGAATAAGTGAAGTGTATATAAGTGGAAGGACCATAAACTCAATGCCTTAAGGTTTTGGGTTGAGATGTTGTGTCAAATCCTTTGTTGTGGGTTTGTCGCTTAGGCCCATTTGATGTGTAGATGATAGTCTCCCCTAATCGGGCTTTCCCCGGCCGCTGCCGAACAGTGACATAATGTTTCTGCTTGAGGGGAAGTTGATAATTGTAGGACTCACACTTAAGGGGCGTTTGGTAGAGAATAAATTTTTATATATCCGAATCATGATTCCCAAGAATATGGTGAGAAAGTCACTTTTCTGAGAATGTTACAAAAAAATTGTTTGGTAGGCCAAAATATTACTAGAATTTTGTTCTAAAAAAAGTGTAAATTTTTTCCAACACCTGAGATTCCAAGAATACCACTTTGAAATAAAATTGTACACAAAACAAAATCCTGGAAAATCAGATTCCTAGGAAAAAATTTTAGAAACCTTGTACCAAACGTGGGTAAATAGGATAATCACTATCACTTTCTCGAGAATCTCAAAAAATTCCTCCTACCAAATACCCTCTTATTAAGGGAAAATTGTTGGTAATTCAAGTGTGAGTGATAAAAAAATTCCAAATTGGAAAGGAATGAGCTAAGCATATCACATGTAAGTAAAAGGACTCATAAATCCATTGACTTAAGATTTTAGTTTGAGACATGATGTTAGACTCACTTGATATGATCGGTGTAGCCTTAGCCCATTGGTGGTGGTTCCCTGCCACAGGCTCTTACTGGACCCGCCGATAGCAACTAGGCATTTAAACACGTAATTTTTCACGTTTAACGCTATTTTGATAGCAAAAATATTATTTCATATTTTGGGCATAACATGAGCTATACTTTTCCAATTGATGTAATCTTGGTCTCGTTGAAAAGATAAGAGAAATATCTACAACTTTTATAAAAAACACAAGATCCAAATCCATCATATTTGATATGAAAAATTGGCCAAAATACAACTTCAGTGAGATTTTCATTAAATTGTTACTCTTTATTTATCGCTTTATGTCCTTCTAACTTAGCTATTGCTCGAGACCTTCAATTCAACTTAATTGTCCTACAAAACAAGCAAGAATCATTTACATGATTCAATAATTCAAAGTTAATACTTTTTAACCAAATAACTCTTAAGTTTTCATGCTTTTAACTAGATATAAGAGTGATTTTATCGATATGCTAATTTCATTTATAGCCTTGAAAAAAGTTCAATCAAGATAAAACAATTGTCAGGTTAAGGCTGTAGCTTTTTAGGAGGCTAGAAATGTGCAAAGGATCAAGAAACCCAGCTACAATATCAACCTGCCAACAATGCACAGGTGGATTTCAACTACATAAGCAAACCAGGCGTTCCCAATGGACTAGATGCAATTCATAACATGTTTGTCTAGTTGACCTCAACACATATACATTAAAGATATTAAAAATTTGTTTATAGAACATCTTATGAAATGAGTTGCACACTTATGAACTAATGATTAGATGATGAGTTGACACCAAATGATGACTAATCTCTACCTCTTTATCATATTCATTATTCTCCCCACTGAATCTTGTTGAACTTAGCCCATATTATGACTAATTTTTTCTCGCTATGCAGAGTTGTAGTGTTATATGTGCCTTTGATAATTCAATTCATGTCACTGTTTGTTAATGGAATTCCTTTCCCACTGCATCTCTAGCTCCGTAGTAACTCCGTTAGGCCCATTATCCTCTTCAATAATTGAAATTGTAGGGATGAACAAAACTAACATTTTAATAAATTGAATATCACTCAAATGTTTTCGAATTTTTATATTATCAACTAATAATAACAAGCATAGCGCGTACAGCATCCAAGTACAAAATATAAGGCTACCCATTAATCATAATATAAAAGACAATATTTAAATTAATTTCAAAGGAATAACAATGTAGCTAACCTATAAATTGTGGAGCCACAGTGCCAAGGGCCAACTTGTTGTTTTATGCCCTAGAGTTTGGAATTTGACGATCCTCAGATGTGAAGTTGAAGAAGTTAAGGATTAAGGAAAAACGAAGTAGATTTGGGTTTTTTTTTTTTTTTTTGTTGCAAGCTGAATTCTAACGCGCACACCAATGGATTTTTATGATAAATTAGGGAAAATGTTTTTTTTATTTCAGAGAATAAAATAATTTGGAATAATTTTGTTACATTTTTAAACAGTATTGTAAATTTGGGATTCTTATTTTTTCGTCCGATGAATTCAACAAAAGTCTACAGTAACCTAAACTCAAATCTTGCTTTCATTAATGAAAGAAGAAATTAAAGAAGAGGAGAGAATTAAATAATTTTTTTTGGATACAACGGAAGTAATTAATTAAATTAAATATACTAATGTACCATAATAGTCTCATAAAAGAGAACTTTAATTCAAAACTTGTGCAGAGTCTATGAATAAAAGCTGCATAAATAAAATAAACATTAAAGAACATTGAGAAATATTAAGTTTACAAATTTTTTGTTTATAAAACTATTTCGGAAAATATAAATAGTTGAGTATATATTCTCCAGAATACATAGTTGAGTTTATAATCTCACTTCAAGAACATTTATTAAAATAACAAGTTCATCATAATTATTTTGATCAGCTTCGGAATACAATCTTCTCTGCAGTTTGGACATGTTTTGGAGGGATTTAGTGCTCCATAGATGGAGGAGGAAGATAAGACATGACCAAATTAACCGCACTACAAGCATGAATAGAGCAATGAGGAGGGCTTTGTTCCTGATACTCCTCTTCTTTGATGAAACTTGTAGAGCCACCACGCCCTATTTCACCATTGCAGAAAATTCCAGCTACTGGGACCCCAGGAAAGTTGAAAACGAATGGTAACATATCAGCATTAGGTTGTCCAAAATATGATTGACCACGAGAATGGCAAGTGAAGATTAAAGCACCAAAAACGCCATCTTTGTTATTTGTATTCTCCTCCAACGTGTATAGAATGTCAAAGGCAATGCCATTGGTGTTGTTTGTAGTTTCTGCGTCTTTATGGTAGAAAATGAATGAATCACCAGGCCTCACCCCAACGCCATCAATGAAGAAGATGACATCATCTTCACACCTGTTCAGTGAGGTATAGGTTTTTTACAAGATAAGGAAAAAAGAAGAAGAAGAACGTACTAGCTATTTGTTTAATTTCTATCAGAAAACACAAGAGGTTTTGCATGTTAGCACAACACACTCCTTGATACTCTTTATATAATGCATACATTCATAAGTAAAAGAAAGATATATAGTATTATATAAATTTGTCTCCTTCGTCCTTATTATTTCTTATATATATACGACTAAAACTTAAAAGAGTTCTTCAAATTTGATTATGTATCGACTTATTATTGATTATCGCCTACGTTAAGTGTGAAAGTGAAATCCTTGTCCCCTCTCACAATTTTTTTTGTTTTTAGAGATATTCCAATCAGTTCATCGCTTCGCGACTAATCCTATTTGGGGTAAGTTCAGAAATTAAGACTTTAAACTCCTCCGGTCCCAAAAATGATACTGAGGAAGATCGAACACGTATTTTCACTTCTTCCTTACTCAATTCCCTCTCACAAAATTTTCTCACTCCACTATTAGCAATCATAGAATGTCAATGAGTGTGTTGCAAACATTTCTCTCTATATCTTACCCTATGACATGATAGAAGGCCGTGGATGTCGTAAATCTTGTACCTTCTCTGGAGTTGTATGTTCTTTTTTGCGTTACGGCAAGGTACAAATCAGGAGGTTGACCATGTACCTACACAGTGCCATTTTTACAGTGTAGATAACATAACGAAAGCAAAAAAAAGTTTAAAAGACATATATAAATTTTCTGAACAATTAAAAACACATACTGTCTCTGCAATAGTCTCCAACACACCCTCCATGCTCAAAATTAAATCAAGTCCTTCAATTTTAGCACAAAGCCAGGAACATTTCTTTGATGGTTTTATTCCAACAGCAACCACCTCTAATCGGGGCCCGAATGGAATTAAACTCCCAGCCATTACAACATGGAATTGAGTTTCCCCTACATCTGATGTGTAAGCCAAACAACCATGAGGGTGGATTTATATATATATACACACAAACTGCATGCACATTGCAATGAACAAAGTTCAAAAGAGTATATAAAAAAGTACCAGGAGACTTGTCTTTATCTGTAGCAAATACCAGAGCAACAGCATCAAGTATGTATGAATTCTCATCACAAGTTATAGTATAGTTCAAACTATTGAACAAAAAGCAGCCACCCGCATCGCCAACGATAGCGGTTTCCTTTGGCATAACATGATCTGCATGCATCATATATTTCAGTCCTTATCATATATTTGGAACAAAGGAAATCATGATCATATAAATTCATTAGTCCTCCAAAGAAAGGTAACTTACCCATTTTTGCAACAATGGAATTCATGTCACTATTACGATCCTAGAAAAACAACATGTCAAGTATGAGCTATTAGTGCACGTGTGGATTTTTCCATGAATAAACAATTAGGCCCTTGTTTGAGAATAACTTACTCCAAACATCATTATGGCAGCGGGGAAATCATCGTTTGAAACAGAAGCTGTGTAAGCCTTGATTTCTTTAACAAACTCGCTATGGTCAATCATGGTAATATCAGGGTCGTCGTCCTAATTTAATATCAGATAATAAAATATTCAAGTCAATTCTCAGCATAATGATATTGATGGCCACGACCATGTATTTATTTATTTTGTTCAAATTAAAATATGCACAGATGGAAACTAATTTAAATAGCTATAAAAACATTTAAATTAAAAAGGGTGTATTCCAAATGGCTAGTTTACCCTATTTGGATTTCAATACACACAACCAAAAAATCTTACCCTCTTTGGATGAAAGAAAGGTACAGCCTCAACTTTTAGTCCAGGTAAATATCCAACTATCAAAACAATCCCTTGATTTGCATTACCAAATACATTAGACTCACGAGGATGAGGACAACTATAGTCAAAATACTCCCATTGCGCCTGCGTTACCATGAAAGATTACTAATATTTATTGTCATTTTTACCAAAAGATAATTTAAATAAGAGTAAATATTTTTACGATGCCCGTCCATCGTGGTATCTAAAAAATTTAAAATGAACCCATTTTAGTCTTCTTAGGGACTAATATGAATTTTTTTGAATTTACGAGGGACCACAATTTCAACTAAATGAGTCTATTTTAAATTTCTTAGGGACCACGATGAGCCTTTTTATTTGCTAGGGACTAAAACGGGCATCGTGAAATTTGTTGAGGATCAAAAAAGGTATTTACTCTTTAAATAAATGAAAATACGAAAGAAAAAAAAAATACTTCTTTCATCTCATCTGTCAGCGCATCCCTGCCCATTACCCCATTGGAAATATGAGTAACCAAAGGAATTTTGGCTCCAAGTTTTCGAGTGAGCTATTGTACCAATATTCAAATGAGAACCAAAACAGTTATTGATCGGAATAGAACATTAATATTTACAAAATATACATTGCAGTAATTTAGAATTTCATCTAACTGAATAAAAATAAAAGATATATACGAGTAGATGAGCCAATCTCAAGCCATGTTTTTCACTGATGCAAGCTATGGCAAAGTCTGGACGAATTGGCTTGCTGAAAACCTTGTCAAGAACCTCAGCCACAGCATCCTATTAACAGTGAAAATAACAAACACCAAAGAATTCAAAGAAACTCAATAAAGTTATGAGAATATATGAAAGAATAGATTCTAATATCCTACATTAAAGTATTTATTTTTATCATAGAAAAATATTATTATATTTTAAGGGACAGGATATTATGCCTATATTTTTTTATACCTACTCTTCATATCACAATCTCGAGAGGAAAGAAAAAGGTAGGTTGAGATTGTGATATAATGATCTTGGAGAGAGATAAATAAATAAGATATGAATAAAGATAAGCATAATTAATATCTTTTCTCATATTTTAATATAATTATATCAATGTAAAAATTTAAATTCTTAAGATCTCTAACCATATTCAGGATCTTTAGTTGTTGAATATAAATATTATACATAAAGTACGTACGTGTATAATTTGACATTTTGATTAAGAGTATAAATAATTGAATAAATGAATTATTATGTTGGTAATGCGAACAATACTTACCGTGAGAGATCCACTAGGATTAGCCTAGTGGTGTGGGGTGTGTGTTAGGTGTATGTAGTGTAGTGGTGTGTGTTCAATTTTCATGTAATGCAAAAAAAAAAATACTTACCCTGAGAGAAGGATTAAGAGAGAGAGCTGAGACAAGCTTGGGACGAGAGAGGATTTGAGAGCAGACATGGTACCAAGTTTTGTTAACACAAGCCGCAGCAGCAAAGGACAAGGCTGGTAATCTGCCGAGAATGTTGTGAAAGATGTCATTGTTTAAGCAATTGATCCTATCCATGATGATGATAATGATGGCACTAGGTTCTTGTTCCTGAATCAGCATGGGGTCCAACTTATGAGCTTATATAGAACATAGGCATAATCTGAAAATTAATGTAGTTGACTATTGTGGATTTCAAATGGATTCTCTATTAAATAAATTGGATTCTTTTTTATGTACCGTTGTGTGCTTTACAGTGAACCAGATTTTCAAATTGGATCTTACTCATTGTAGTAGGTAAAAAGGAGAGGTATTCAATTTAGCGAAAAATTAAAGGGTATTTAAGAATCTCTCATAAATTGAGACCACAAAAAAGCAAAATAAAAACTTTCTATGTTAATTGAAATTAATAGAAATCAAAATATAAAAATTTCTATATTAATTGAAATTATTAGAAATAAAAACAAAAACTTTCTATGTTAATTGAAATATACTTTTGTTAAAAAATGTAAGTTGGATCCCGTTTGTGTACAGCCGGAGCCAGATGTGATTATTATTTTTTTAAATATCGTAAGGGTATTATCAAACTTAATCATTTTGATGACAAATTCATATATCACTAATTGATTGTCCTAACTTCAACGGTAGAGTAAATAAAAATTAATGGCGACGGTTACCACAAGGAGTTAGGAGATAGGTATACATTCAATAAATAAGGACCAGCTGAATACTTGAAAAACATTTTTTTTATTCAATACATTGCTCATAAATCACAATCGCATTATAACCTTTTCTTTCACTAATAATTTTTTATAAAAAGTAAGACGATAAATTAAATTAATCGCATGATTTTTTAATATATATATATATATATATATATATATATATATATATATATATATATGAGGAATGATATTGTGACAACCAAGTTGTGTTACTACCAAGTGACTACCAATCAATCTTACCGTTAGATCGATTATATTGATCCAACGGTTATATTTATTTCCATATTTGAATGGTCATGATTCTCCAAATTTAGTACTTTATATTTATTTTCACCTTTGTATGGTTATGATTTTCCATATTTAATGCTTTCACTTTAAATATGGGGAATCATAACCATAAAAAGATGGAAAAAAATATAACCGTTGGATCAACATAATTGATCTAACGGTGAGGTTGATTGGTAGTCACTTGGTAGTAACACAACTTGGTTGTCACAATATTCTTCCCCTATATATATATATAGGTTTGTTGAATGTATAGTGATTAGTGACTACACCTAAGGATTGGTGCAATTACACTATGTACTACGGGTAGTATATAATTTTTTCTCTCTTCAGAAATTTTATAACTATGTACTATCTGAAAGTTAAATGACATTGAAGGCCGTAGCATGTGAGAGGGAAAAACAAAATTTTTCTTATGCGGAATCACACATGCAATCAAGAATCATGCTTTATGAGAGTATGATGTTACCTTTGTTTGTGAGTTCAAAACTCCAAGACAATCAGTGTTAGGTTTGAAGGGTTCAAACCCTCTAACGTTGATCCACACCACCCACGTCAAGATGCAAGAACTCTTCTTGTCAAGCCACCAATTGACCACCACAAAGAGGCTTGCTATGCGCTCAATAGGTGAAGAAGGAGGCTAGGTAAATGTGTTTAGAAGAGTGAAGTCTTCAGCATGAAAACTTCACAAGAGTGGGATTGGATTGTAGTAGAATTGGCTAGGTCTTGCTTTGAAAACCTTAAGGAGAACTTACCCCTAGTATGCGCACAAGAGAGTGAGAGAGTTTTTCAATCAAATCAGATTTTCACTTAAATCAATGATGTAGGTGGCGCACAAGAGATGAGAGAAAGGTGGAGTTGTTTGCAATTCAAAATTCCCAACAACCTACCTTTTAATCCTCATGAGACTAGGTCTCTACCTAGTCAAAATTCTGATCCAATGGCCATCATATGGCCAGCCATTATGCGCCCCTATTCGGCCCAAAAAGGGGTCCAGATTCGTTGAGCAGTTGCATTCAAATTTGAACCAACTCACTCACTGATTCTCTCAACCAACCAAATCTGATTGGAGCTTGTTTGGTTGACTAGATGACACTCATCATCCAACCAAAGTGGCGCCCCAAATCAGCCCTTGGAGATCTCCGTAGATCTTCTCTTGATACAAGGGATTTGTTCCAACAAGATCTCATCTTATCCTTTTGTTATGAAACAACTTTTCATAGCCAATTCAAATTCGAATTCAACCATTTAAATTCAAACGTTCAAACATCTAAATTCTAAATTCAAATTTCAAATTCAAATTCAAATTTCAAAATTCAAATTCAAAATTCAAAATTCAAAATTCAAATTTCAAATTCCAAATTCAAAATTCGAATTTCAAAATTCAAATTCAAAATTCAAAATTCAAATTTCAAATGCAAAATTCAAATTTCAAATGCAAAATTCAAAATTTAAATATTTGATAATTAATTTAACCAATTAAATTAAGGGATAGGATATTGTGACAACCAAGTCATGTTACACCCATGTGACAACCAGTCAATCTCACCGTTAAATTAGGTTTTTGATCTAACGATCCAAATTTAATCCTTATATACACCCTCACTTCCCCTTCTCTCTCCCCTTTCTCTCTGATCATACTCTCTCTCTTTTCTTCTCTCATCACACTCTCTCTCTTCCCTTCTCTCTCATCATACTATCTACCGCCGCCGCCGCGCCTCCCCCTCTAATTCACCGCCGCCGCCGTGACAGTATGAACTTTTGTGACTATAGTCATATTGCATCCCCCCTCCTCAATTACATTATATTTATTTCCTACGAGGTTTTTGTGCTTTTTGTATAATTTATTTATATCTACCCTTTTTGTCTATGAGATTGCTTTGAATTGTCAGAATTCTCTGCGGTTCCTGGTTATTATTTTATGACTGAGGATCGGTGTAATTTTCTGAGTTGAGGAATAATTATTTGAAAGGAAAATAATTAGTGGAAGACTCAGATTAATCTATTTTTGGTTGTATAGACTTGACAGTTCCAGTTCTGACTACTGGCTTCTTGCCTAGTTACAAATATCTCAATCTTCCAGCAGAAACGATCACCTGGATCTTCTTGATATGAACAATCTAATATTTGGTGCTTATTGTTTGATACTGCTTAATTTGGATTTTGTAGATTTTGATCTATAATTAATAACTTTCTGAACCAAAATCTGTGGAGTTGATTGTGATCTTGGAGACATTATAATTAGGAGTAATCAACCAATTTGACAGACTAGAATCAACTGCAATTTCTGGCAATAGGGGTTTGGACTGAAGGACATTTGATTCGTTGCAAGGTGAAGAATTCAAGGGAACGCTTGTATTTTGCTCCGGCTGAACATTCTCCTTCCTCCTGTGGCGGTGGCGGTAAATTAGAGGGGGAGGCGCGGCAGCGCGACGGCGGCGGTAGATAGTATGATGAGAGAGAAGGGAAGAGAGAGATTGTGATGAGAGATAAGGGAAAAGAGAGAGTATGATCAGAGAGAAAGGGGAGAGAAAAGGGGAAGTGAGGGTGTATATAAGGATTAAATCTGGATCGTTAGATCAAAAACCTAATTTAACAGTGAGATTGACTGGTTGTCACATGGGTGTAACATGACTTGGTTGTAACAATATCCTATCCCTTAAATTAATTAGTAATGTCTTGAACCATCCAAGCCCATTAACCATACCATGCGCTCTCTCCCTCTTAGGTGGGCTTCCAAACTTCATCTTGGACTAACAACCATTATTAGGCCTAATACCTTTAATGCTATATCATCATGACAATAAGGTGTTAGTGTATGACCCATTAGGCCCAATATAGTTACTGACATAAACGGGCTTGAGCCCAACAAGCCCACAACCCATCTAATGACAACACAGAGCACTAGCAATGCTTTGTTGCCCCAGAGCCAGTTAGATTAATGACTTGATCATCCTATTACACATATTTGGTTGCCGTATATATTTCCTTTCGTCTCGGTTACCTTCCTATTAAACCTAGGGTAAGGAAACGTATCAACCCTTGCGGTTTAGGGTAAACTTTATTCGAAATAGGGAATCTTCAATTTACTGACTCTAAAGGCAGATCATCTCATGATCTCTTTTACTATGAATAGATTCCTGAGTCCCTGTAAATGTCATCCCGATTTCTCCGGTTTACAGATAACCTAATCTCTCACAGAGATTTGACGAATTCCTTCATCTTATCACCCTAGCCCTGTGCTCTTTCAGGACAAGCCCAACAGTGTAACTATGAGTCTCCATGTTTCAGGCAGACGAGGTATACAATCAAAGCATGCCTTCTAGAACACAGTCTAGGTAATAACTTCTGGTATAAGGAAAAACATACCCAAATATAAAGAGACTACTCTAATGACACTATCTGTGAGATTTCCTCGTAGAGTCTCTTTGTGGGTCTGTTCAGTGCGAGCTATACCCTTATAGGTCCACCCACGACTTTAGCTAAGACATCTCCATATCTGTAGCACATGAGGTCTTTACCTTGTATCCAAATACAAGTAGATAAGTCGTGCTAGTCTTACCCGAGATCACTGATCCCCATTCTCAGTGTCTCTAGACTAGGAACATAAAATTAGGAATAAACATGCGGTATCCTAGAATCCTCATGATCGTGATCTCATCACAGATACTCAGGAGATACATGTTTTATTCCAAGGGGTTTATCCAGTTACACATATAAAATATTAACAATAATATTGAGACAAAATATGAAACTGGATAAAGAATGCTTTTCATTTATTTGCGACAATATAAATGGTCCACATATGTCCTAATCTAATCAAAAGATTGTCTCTAGGATATTCATATACTAACAAGATCCCACTTGGCCTAGAGCCAATCTGACCTAAGTCGTATACCCAAAGCCTCATAATGACTATCATGTTTTCTCTGAGAAGCAGTTTGTCAGAGAATCGGCTAGGTTATTTTCTGTGGGAACATAATCCATCTTTACATCCTTCCTATCAATGATTACTCTAATCAGGTGATATCTGCAGAGAACGTGTTTAGATCTTTGATGAGACCTAGGTTCCTTTGACTGCGCGATGGCTCCAGTGCTTTCGCAAAGCAACTG